TTTGGAGGAAAGGTTCTTTGGTGATGTTTCCCTGGAGGAAATAGGTGAGAGAATAAGAAAATGAGCTTCTCCATCTGCCAAAGGGAATGGACAGTATTATGTTTCCACATGTGTGGATGCAGCTATCTTAGTTGTGTATTATTTTCCAGAAATTTTGGAGACTACTGTGCAAGCAAAAGGTAGAAGCAAGCACCGACTCTTGCTTATATATATGAAAAACTGTGCCACTAAAAGAACAGACAAGCTTCAGTTGGGAGCTTGAAGGAGAACACCCCGTTCTGAGGGAAGGGCATTGGTCTTTCACAGGACAGTAATGGACAGATTTTATTCTCATAGGTTTGGTGGCTTTTCCAGATTCCAGCAGAAAAGGCATGACTGTGGGTGGTTTCTCTGGATTCAGGTGCAAAAATCACCTTGATGGTGGCCCGTATAATATCTAGGGTTGACAACCCCATTGCAGCTAGTTCCTTGGGATTTCAGTGTAGTCAGAGTTGATGCTAAGATAGCCTCCATGTTCTCATTGTGAGTACTGTCTCAAACACGGCATGTTCAGACTCCAGCAGCAGGATCCCCAAACAGGCATCTTTAGAATCTAATGAAGAGACTCCTCTTAGATGAAAGCCACATGTTCTCCAGTGCTAAGACTCTTCTAGTCAAGTCAGGTCTAGTTGCAAGCTTTTAAAGGTTGTCTCCAAAACTATTTTTTTCATAACCTTAGCTTCTTTCTTCTCTCTGTTGCTGCCTTCAAAAATTTTACTAGAGTTTTTTTTTTCTTTTAAAAAAAATACTGTCTCTCTGCTCTCAAACAAATTTCCGGTGCTGGAGGTGATTCTCCTGCTTGCTCTTGGACTCTCGGTAGTAGTTCTACCCTAGGGATAGGGACAGCCTAGTTCAGAACATACCCATGCTGTACCTAAAGAGAACTTCAAAATTCAGGGCTACCAATCTAGCCTCTCTCATCAGTACAGAAAGTCATGCACTATAGTAGTAGGGCACTTGTACATGTGACAGGGGTTTAGTCCTTCAGGGTTGCATTCTATGCCCCCTAAATTGAAACAGTGAGTTTTTAATTGAAATGGTGGGTTTTATTTTTCCATCACTGTATATAAGTAATTGTCCTGGCAGCTGCAGGTGCCTGCTAAAGGCAGAAGTGGTGAGGGGCCCGATCCTTTTTAAAATTTTTTGGTGAAGTCTCTTGCTTCTTCTGCAGCTGGAGGATGAACTGCTGGTGGGCTGTGTAGCCCCTGACCTGTGGGGGGCCCTGATCTTTCCCTCTATGGTGGCAGAGTGCCTCGGGGCTGGCTGGGTGGACTGCTAGTGGGTTGGGTGCTGCTTCAGCTCAGAGGTGCCCAATCCAATTCTTCTTGAGCCTGTTCAGGCTTCTAGCACCCCACAGACTGTCTCTGCTACCTTCTCTGGGCACCTCCTCATGCTGCCCTAGGGACATGCCAGCCCATTCCTGGGTGGCCTTAGGTGTCCTGGCAGCCACAGGTGCCTGCTGAAGGCAGAAGTGGCGAGGGCCCTGATCCTTTTTTTGGCAGAAACTGCCTCCCTCTCCTGTGCCCAGGGGGCAAGCTGACAGATTAATGGCTGCAATGTTCCAAGTTGCAACATTGCAAATTGAACTACATCAGCACGTGGTTTAGTTTGTGATGATATAAACTCATTTAAAACCCCCAAAACTCATGTACATGTAGTGTGACACCATTAAGCCACATAGGGAAATTTTCATCATGTGTACATAGTAACATCATCACATGTACAAGTGCCCCCAGTGACTACAAAGCAGTCATTACCGTAGCAGAAATAGTAGAACTTCAGTCATGAAGACAGCTGTCCAGAGATGAAGTCCCAGTTTGGAGTCATAGTTCTACTTCTTGGTCAAGTACTTTATAAATTGCCAATATGTATTCTTGGATTAGGTTTTAATAGCTTCTACCACCTTCTTCCTCAATTGTTTCAAGAAGGGCTAATTAAGGACTGAAACTGAGTCAGTGGACAACCTTTCATTTGCTCCAAGTACTCTACCTGGAAGCAGATCAGTGGCATAAAAATGAAGACTACATCAGGTAATGTACCTCGTTTCTAAGTCCCCCAAGCCAGTTGCTTTTCTAGGATCTTTCTTAAAATGGAGGCTGTAAGACTTGGGGGCAAGTGAATATAAAGTGCCCATCAGAGAGATAGGAATCCAGTCAACTTTCTTAGTCTACATTAAGACTAGACATGGATACACCTTTAAGGGCACAAGGATGCAGCTGGCAAATCCTAGAAGGAATTTGGAGACTAATCTGACCCCCTTAGGTCCACACATTTAAGATGCAAATCTCACAGGAAGTGCTTCCTTTGTGACAGAGAAGACATCGCCAGATTCCCATTATACACCTGCAAGAACAAGTTTTCTTCATGGTGTCTTCATGCCATTTGTGCATCTTCAGTTTTAATAGGGTTGGGACACTAAAGATTTAGACTTTTTTTTTAAGTTAACTGAGTTTTTTGAACCTCCGGTATTCCTTCGATAGAGCTTGTTTTGAAGTGGAGAGAAGTGAAGGACTTGACTGAACTGGTTTTTATTTTATCTAGGCTGTTTTGCTTGTCAGTATATATAACCCAAGGGATTTAAGGCCTGACCAGACTCCAGCTGATGTCAGTTAGATTAGCCTATAATGTCTTGACCAGTGGTTCTCAACCTTTTTAGACTTGAGGCACCCCTCAATAAACTCAAGGAACCCATGAGAGACTTGATGCCCCTCCTCCATAAAATACCAGCTCCTAGTTTTCACTCGTTTTTTGACTACAGAAAAATAATAGAGTAATTCTACTGTTGCAAAGACCACAAGAAGTCAGAATGTTTTTAACACAATAGATTCCTATTTGAAATCTCTGGGTTTATCTAGTGAATCATGTTTGCTCATTAACAGTGCCTTGAACAATGTATCTCAAGGCACTCCAGGGTGCTGTTGTACCTTGGTTGAGAATCACTGCTCTAGAGGCCAAATTTTGTCTTGTTATGTCCAAGTGAATTGAGGTGTCAGTTGGCTCTGCAGAACCATTCTTCATGGCCATTTCTGAGCACAGACCTAATCTATACCATTACAGAAGAATCTGAATAGATAGGGCAGAGACATTAGAAGCAGTAAATTGTGATTAGTATAGCATGGATGATAACAGGCCCTGTTCTTTACACTGTACCCACTCTCAGCCTTTGACCCTGTGTTAAATGCTGTGGCTCTGTCACCATCAGGGAGATTCATTAAATGCTGTCCTTCCAAATTGTGCTGTAACAATGCCAGATATTTGCACATGGTCCCTTAACAGTTCTGAGCAGCATATTAAAATGCAAATAAAAAGGTGCTTCATCCCCAAGAACAAGGACAAAGCTGATTTTGAAATTGATTCAATAAATACAAACAAGAAAGCAGCATGCTACAGTAAGCGATTTCTCTGAGCAGCTCAGATTAGAACAATGAAGGGTGCAAACCAAGGCTAGCAATGTTTGCCATGCAGGAAGCTGTCAGAAAAGCTGATATGAAGCCAGAAGGGAGAATGTGGGTGGCACCAGGCACTCATTTTTTGCCAATTGCTACTTCCACTCACTTTCCCTCAGCCTGCAAAACAACAGCCGATGACAGCTGAGGGTAACATGGAGTACACATTAAGATCACGTCCCCTTTGTCACACCTGTTCCATAGCTGGGAGATAAAGCATAGAGCACTTGCTGCCATCTGCAGCAAGGAAGCAACGAGAGCAATGTTGGTGGACACTTTTTTAGGGAGGTCACAAGCCTACACAGCTTTGGACTTTGTGCTGAAATAGCAGGAAAGCAATTTGGCTGAGATTTGGCCCAATTCAGTGGCTGAATCTCAAAATCTGAATCAAATCAGGAGACCCTTTAATCTCTTCAAATCAAATCAGAACCCTCTGAATCAATTCGGAAAGGTTCAATGATTCAAATATAGACAAAGCTTTAAATGTTTTTTCTATGTACCAGGTGGCTCATGAAGGCTGAGATGCTGGGGTGGATGGAGTGTCCCACAGGAGTGCAGGAGGCTCCCAAGCGTGCTCAGTAACAGACCCAGAAGTGGCCCAGAAGCACTTCTGGGCCACTTCTGGGTCTGCTGGGGAGCATGCGGTGGGGGTGCCCCCGTGCCTCCCCGACTCAGTGACTGGTGCCTCCTGGGTCGGGGTGGGGGGAGGCACCCAGGTTCCCCCCATGGCCAATCACCAAGCTGGAAGGGCACGGGGGCCCCCCCACGCACTCCCCAGTGGACCAAAAGTACTTCTGGTCTACTTCTGGGTTTGCCATCGAGCACGCAGGGGATCCCCTATGCTCCTGTGTGATGCGCCATCAACCCCACCATCACGAGCCATGTCTGGTACCTCAAGATATATAGAAAAAACATTTAAAGCTGTGTCTATGGACGAATTGCTGATTCTCCAAATCAGTATCGAATCTTCAGATTCAGATTTGGCTGAATTGAATCTGGGACAATGATCTGAATCAACAAATCGAATCACTGTCCCCAATTCAGGCTGAATCCGAATCGAATATGGCCCATTTCACACACCCCTAAAAGCAACATGGACGAGCAAGTTTAAGATCTCACACAGCAGACAGTGAGCAAAAGAAGTGACAGAGAAAACCACAGAGCAAGATAGACAAACAGACACAACCACCAACAGACCATGCTAGAGACAGAAGGCTACACATACATGCAGACAGACATACACAGGGACAGATGGAGAAATCCATCAGAACTTGAACACCATAGGGTTTCATTCCCCACATGCAATACAGAAAAAGTTGCACAAGCCCTTTCACCTCCCAGCCCCAAGAACCACTCCAGTCAAGACCTGGATTGATGACCCCAGTGAATAGCATCCAGCCTACTGGAGTATGGCGGGCTGTATGTTACCCACTCCTGGTCCCAATGCAGCTCTCTTGTGTGGTGGTTCTTTGTCCTATCCCTCACTGGCTCTCTGGCCTTGCCTGCTAGGCTCACCTTCATCTCCTGGGCCTCTAGTACCTTTTTGCCATCCCAAGCCCAGCTGCGTTTGGTGAAGTAGTTGACTGTAGCAAATTCGATCAGCGCAGAAAACACAAAGGCGTAACAGACGGCTATGAACCAGTCCATGGCCGTCGCATACGCCACTTTTGGTAAGGAGTTTCTGGCGCTGATGCTGAGGGTGGTCATGGTGAGGACTGTGGTAACACCTGTGGAAACAAAATGAGACAAGAGAGTGTGGTCAGACTGCAGGGATATGTTGGTGTGACTGATTTGGGCCCTTCTCTCTCACCAGAGTACAGCTAGCAAACATTCCTCAGTCCCTGACATAGCAGTCATCAGTAAATGTTTTTAAAGCTGAATATTCCTGCCATTTGGGTCTCAAGCCATGAATTCCTGCTACTATTAAGGCTTCCAAGCTTGGTTCCCTATATTCACTGTACCCTGTAAGTGGATTGGAAAGGGATGCTCTTCACTTACATCAAGTTTTCCCCAACTTCCAACAGAGGAAGTTTGGCCTGGTGAGAGAAAACATCTATTGCCAACATCAGCTGTGCAATCAGCTTGCAAGGAAGACGAAACACATCTCCACCTGCCATTGGCAATAGAGTAACAATGCAAAGAACTGTACCATATGCTGATGAGCTGCATAGGAGAAACTGACTATGCAGAAGGAGAAGCTGATGCCGGGACTGAAAGTAGCTCAATTAATTAAGAATATTGGTAAAAGCTAATTACTGATAGCCATATTTATGGTTGGCGTAGGAAAGTAAGAATTGCATTCATGTAGGCAAGTGATGGCTCTGGTCCACTCTTATCTTGCAATTTAAGATAACAAAGAAAATCAAATCTCCTGTTTCACAGCTCATGTTTACAGATTTGAACATCAGGGAGAAATTTCAGTCTCCATGCCTCATGTGGCTATGCAGATAGCTGCTTTCTGGAGAAGGTTTTACTTTTTTCTCTAGTTCACTGGTTTCAACTGGAGGTAGCACATCAGCCAATGGACCATGTCTTCATGTGAAAAATCTGCTGAGTCTATGAAATGTTAGTATCTTATTTGGTTCTTGGTAAAGTGCTTGCAGGTTCTCACAAAATGAAAGAATCCCATTCAGTCTGAACTGTGAGGTGTTCTGGAGCATACAGAGAGCATGAAACAAGCTTGAAGAGGTCCATGTGGTCCTGATTAAGTAGTGCAGTTGTAAATTTTCAAACTTCTGGCATGTGTTACAACATCAATAAATTAATTTAAATAAATGCTGTCCCAGTACATTTATGAAGGTATACAAATGACTTGGGAATCATTGGTATGTCTACACCCTAACTCTGCATCCTCATAGTGGATCACTCTTGAGTATGTTCTCAATCCACTTGCTCCCATTCATGTGCCAAACTTGGAAATACATTGGGGAAGCCACCCTGGGAACGCCCTAGGAGCCAGTCTTGAGCCTTCAGTTGCAGGTATGCTGAGAGCAAACGTGAAGGATGACCCTCAGAATGGTTTCATTGCTTCATTTCCAGGACTGATGTTTGCAAGCAGAAATGGGTGCGCCAGGAATGCTCAAAGGTAGCCCTCTTTGGGCACACTGGGAACATGAAGGAGACATAACCATTGTGCCCTATCCAAGTCTCTTTCTCATCAGTAGGATACAAGTGTGTACGTAAGAAGAAGTGTGCTTGTGTAAAAAAGGACTTGCTGGGTCAGAGGTGAAAAAGCATTGCCTTGGAGAACAGAAGTGGCCCCCAAATGAAATACATGGTGGATCAGGAGGAGGTCAGTTTATAACGATCCTAACATATTTGGAACTCTCATTCTGAAGGAGCCTGTATGTAGAAAGATCATTCACCCACTATTGAAATGTAATCATTAGAGATGGACAAATATCAGATATTTGAGTTGGGGGTCAATTCTGGAAAATTACAAAAAGAGGAGGTTTGTAGCAATTTGAAAATTTTTTTTCTTTTTTGAAATTTTCAGCAAATACATTTGTAGATAAACTAAACTATTTCAAAGCCATTTTGCTTGACACAGGTGAAATGTTTAGTTTCAATTCTAACAACAACAACAAAAACAACTTCAAAATGAAGAATTATTTAGAATCCAATAATTGAAATGATTCAGTTAAAAATATTGAAACAAAGCTGTTAATTTGTTTCACAATGCTTTTCGTTATTGTTAAATGAACAATTTGACGAAGCTGGCACAAGTTCAAAAAATGTTTTGTTGTCATCGCTGCTGCATTTTTCTCTAATAAAAGTTTTGGTAAAATAATGTCACCCAAGTCAGGAATCACCACTCTTTCATATAGGGAAGTAGGATAGTTAAATGTTCCACATCTGGCAGGAACTGTGGAAGAAATTTAGGCATGCAGCATATCATTACCTTTGTTGGGATGTATCAAAACAGCTAGGCTAAGACTTCTCATATGGAAAAGATTCCATAGCCGCAAGGCATGGTATCTGACTCAAAACCATGAGCATGTGATATAGTATCAAAAAAGTGATATTTTTCTCCCTTTCATTTGATGCATCTAGTCCAGTATTTCCCTCTTTTGTAATATCTTCAGGACACCATTATCTCCAAGGAATGTACTAATGCCTGGTGACTGCAACTCCATGTTTTGTGATGAAAGGATAAAGAGTATTCAGAAAACATTGTTCTGCGGTGATCCACAGATGAGTGGATCTGCAGTGATCCACATTGTTCTGCAGTGATCCACACCCAAATATGAATAGCTGCCTGCTGTAGACACCAGGTTTAGAACCCAACCCCAGGCTCAGGGAATGCCAGTTACTCCTCAGTGAGCTTCCCTCAAGGTGACCTGCAAAAAGGAAGCTATTTTATAATTTCACAGTTAATAAGCTAATGTGAGGACTGATTTCAGCTCTACATGTCATTTAATGTGTATCAGCTCCCTGTCAACCTGACTCAGCCACAACCTGCAGAGAAAACTCAGAAGGTGATGAACGTCCATAGTCCATTCAGTTTTGATCTGTTTGCTTACGCTGCACAAATGTTTGCTGCTCTGATGGGAACAAGGACATCTGCCCATGGACATTTGCCCTAACATGACACATTTCAGTTTTCAGGGGCCAGTAAACAATCTTTAGATGTTAATGATCTCTGGTGAGTACCAGGCTTGATACCAACAACCTGAAGGTAAAGGTGCACCAATATATCAGTTTGATATTGGATCGGTACCGATATAAAGAAAATTGTTTATATCAGATGGATATCGGCCCAATGGGGCTGATAATTTGGCCAATAAATGCCTGTGCTGTGTGCAGCCACAATGCAGCATGGAGCAGAGCCGGCAGTGTGCAGAGCTTCCTCCAGCTGGTATATCAGAAGGGGAGGGAGGAGGTATTGAGCTAAAGTTAATTTGTCTTTATATACTCTTAATATTGCCTTTATAATATCCTTTATTGCCTTGTTACTTATTATTTTATAGCCAATATCCATTTTAGTTTGCTCAAATAACTGTGTAACTTAGCCTTATTTGAGACTCTATTTTGATTTTTACATTGCTTAGCATAAGTGTAAGTCATTTTGTTTTGTGATTTTGTAGGTTAAATATAGCATAAGAGAAGTAGTGTATATGCAGGGCCTGTGGTATGTCTGGGATGTTTGAAAAGAGGTAATGAAAGAATAAATAGTATGTGTGGAAATGCATATGCTGAGACGAAATGAGACGTGTGTGAACGACACTTTAAAGCAGGCTAAATGCTTTTGCACCGCTTTAATGGTGTCAGTGTTTGCATGCCTCGGCAGTGTATTGCTCATTAATTCCAGCCGCTGTAGGAAATTCGGTGGCATAATGCAACTTAAATGACTTGGGACGCAGCAAACTAAAACTCCTTTGAGGAGTCTCCTTCACGACTGGAGCCTCGCAAGTGGGCCACGCAAATAGGTGCGCTTTTGGGCCCGGCATGCGAGTTATCACAAGAGTTTGCACAGGAAGGTGAGCGGGAAGGCCCGAGGCCCTGCCAGTGCAGCCTAGGGAAGGCAGTCCCAGCCGCAGCTGGCCTACAAGTGGCATCGAGGGTCCCCTCGGAGTCTGCGGCCTCCCCCTCTGGCACCTCAGGGGCCTCCAGCCAGACAGAGCCCATGTTTCTGGGCTCCACGCAGACGGAGCCTCTGGCTCTCGGCTGCGGGGGCTGCCTGACACTTTTTCAGGCTCTGGGGTCCGGGAGCATGACCACCTCCCCTTGTAAGGTCTGCTCCCTTTTGGGGTCTCTGGTGTGCCAGCTGGAGGAGCTCAGGCCGCAGGTGAGCAGGAGATAGACTGAAGTGGTGTGTTTTGAAACCCACGGTTTCAATTTAGGGCCCCCATTTCATCTACACATGCCCTTAGTCTTGCACCTCAGACTAGAAGGATAAAAATAGCCTTCTGTGATCTAACAGCCAAAGGTTACAACAATGTCCACGATCAGCAGTTAAAACTTACAAAATACAAGATCATGTTTTATTCCAATAGCTAAAGAAATTGCTGACAAGAGGTGGAAGAAATTGCAGACCACAAAGCCTGAAGAGTCGGCCAATCATAATATTGCAACAGAAGAGAAGCCATGGGTCTTGCTGTGTCACATCCCCTCGATGACAAAATTATCCTCCTCTTCTGTTGCAATATTATGATTGACAGACTCTAGTCTGAGGTCATAGACTTGTATGGGGAACAATCATTATAAAGATGGACAAGAACAAAGAGGCTTTGGGTCTGTCCTGCACAAAAGAAGAAGCATCGATACGCATCCGACAAGACCTGGCTTCATTCTTGTGGTTAACTTGGCTGGTCACCAAGCTAACCCAAGCATATTAAGGACTGGTAATATCTTAATATTTGCAGGACTGTCTGTCTCTTTTTGTACATATGTGAATAAATGGGTAGGTATGTGTGAGTGTATAAAAGAGGAAACACCACCTTTTTGTGTTTTTTTTTTTTAATTTTGCTTGTCTTGTGTTTTCAATAAAACCAGTGTTGTGCCTTATCCTCTGATAAGATTCCTGCTTGATTTTAATTCACAGTGTATGTCCTGCGCGTACAACAGAAGAAAGGGGTGTGGGGATGCAGATCAACACCCCCCGAGGTGAGGGAGGGGGCAGAGGCAGGTGCTGCCCAGCTGAGGTGGGGTGGGGGCGTGGGACAGTAGTGCAGCTCATGCTGCTTGTACCCTGGGAGGGTGGGGGAAGGGGTGCCCCTGGATCATGTGTGGTGTGGGGTGGGCTGCAGCTGCGGGGTGGAGCTGGAGCTGAAGCTGGCACCGTGCAGGGCTTTCCTTGGCAGGGGCATGGCTTGGAGTGGGCTCCAGAGGGGCTGTAGCCACCCCAAATTTTGCTGTAGCTCTGCTCCCAGCCCTGTACCACAACTTGCCACCCAGCGCAGCCCAGGCTGAACATCCCTCCTCCACCCAAGTGCCAGGAAAAGCCATGGCTGCGCCAGGCAGCAGGCAGCAGCGCGGGGCTAGGAGCAGAGCTGCGGCAAAATTTGGGGTGGCTGCAACCCCTCCCAGCACTACCAGAGCCCACTCCAAGCCAAGCCCCTGCCAGGAAAAGCCCTGTGCAGCACCAGCTCCGGCTCCACCCCACAGCTACAGCCTGCTATGCACCGCACAGGTTCTGGGGTACCCCCCCCCCGCCCTCCCAGGGTGCAAGCAACGGTGGGAGCCACCCCCACCCCATGAGCTGAGCCCCTCACCTGCCCCCTCCCTCACCATGGGGGGTGTTGATCTGCATCCCCACGCCCCTTCCACCATAATGGACTTACCAGCTGATGGCAGCTGAATTGGATATTGGATCACTGTTGGCTGATATGCCTCCTTAAATATCAGCTATTGGTATTGACGCCCAAGATCTCTATCGGTGCACCCCTACCTGAAAGTGAAAAACTCCATATCCCATTATCCCTTGCAAGAGGCACCAGTTGCTCAGGCAAACAGTAATGGAAAGTCAAACAGATATTCTTACTTCACATTTCTCCTGTAGTCTACTGCATTCTTCCTTCAGTAGTTATTGCAGGGGTGGGCAATTATTTTGGCTGGAGGGCTGCTTAATCAGTTGTGGTGAGCTAAGAAGGGCCACAAGGGTAGCTCTGCCCCTTAGCAGGTGCCCCACCCCCTGGCTGCCATCTTGGGACTGGAAGTCCCACCCCTAATCCCTGACCTTTTTTACCAGAAATCCCTCCGCTTCCCCCCAATAGTACTCCTTTGGAGGGGGGTTGCCATCTTGGAACTGGAAAAAAACCAAGTCATATACTAAGTCAATCATATAACATATTTTAATTTTATTTTTAAAAATATTTTTGGACTGATTTATGTGTGTTTGCATGGTGTAAATAGAGGTGACTGCATAATAGCTCAAAAATAAAGTCTTACTCTTATATTGTCCGTGTTACTCTTATATTGTCCGTGGGGTATGGTTGGGAGGTATGTATGGTGGGGTGTGGGATGTGTATGTTTGTGTGTGTGTGTGAGGGTAGTGAAGGGATATGGCTGTGTGTGGGAGGGTTGTGGGAAGGTGTGGGCAAGGTGTGGGTGTGTTTGGGTTTTATGGGGGTGAGGGACGGTGGGGGGGCTTTAGGGTCTCCCCCACATGCCCCCCTATGGTGCACAGCCCCCACTGCTGGAGGCTGTGGCAGCAGCAGCAGGCAGCAGGCCCTGAGGGTGCTTGTGGCTTACACCAAGCAGTCACTGGGTGATGCGTGGCTCCAGCTAGTTCTGGGAGTTGCACATGGTGACAAGGCAGGGCCAGCCCACCTCTATCATGTGGGGCTCACATGTAGCTCCTGGGATTTGCACAGCACTGGGGGGAAGCCCCGCAAGAGGGACCTAGCAGCTTGGCCCCACTCCCTTCCACCACATGCAGTTCACAGGACTCTGCCTGGAAGCAGTCCCAGGAGCTGCATGTGGTAGCAGGGAGTAGGGAAGGCAAGCAGCTGCATCACACAAGGCTTCCCCCGGTGGCATGTAAATCCTGGGAGCTGCACTTAAGGCCCGCATGATAGAGGTGGGTTGCCTGGCTCTGCTCTTTGCCGCCAAGTGCAACTCCTGGAACTGGCCATGGGGGCGGTATGTGGGGGGATTCCCCCACTCCCCACCCTCCCTCACATGCCCACAGCCTGCCCATTCAAGCTGCGTGCTCTCACCACCCTGCTGGATGCAGGCCCTGGGCTCCATGCTCTTGCCAGCCCCAGCCTCATAATCTGCACTTCCACCTAGCCGCAGCTTCCCTACATGGTGCCCAGAGTGAGAGCTGCAGCAGGAACGCAAGGAGGAGCCACTGAAGGCTGGGGAAACCAAGCAGATCCTTTGGTGGCTGCAGTAGTGGCAGAAGTGGCTCCACCCAGAAGCTGTGCATGATGGCTGGGGATAGGGCCCTCACGTGCAGGAAGGTGGGAGCAAAGACTATGGGCTGAGTGGGGTACAATTAATTGGTGGGCACCTGTGGGCTGGATGAAACTGCCTGGTAGGCTGGATTTGGACCACAGGCCGTATTTTGCCTGCCCCTGAGTTATTGCCTTTCCCACACTTAGCACAATATTATTTGTCCCGCTTTTATGTAGCCTCCTAGATGCCAGCGCCTAATTCAGAAGGCATGAGGAGATCCAGGTCTCATGGTCTGGGTAGATAAATAAGAGAGGAATTAATTTTAAGGCATGTTAACATACCTGTGATGCCAGGTCTACATGCTGCCTCTATAGATGAATTGAAAATCTTCTTCACAAAGAAATCAAATAATTAAAAACTATTTAGGATGAAGGCCAGTGGATGCACTCCAGGAATTTGTTCACTGTACAAACGGATCTAATCTGGAGGCAGGAGGAGGGAGGTAGCAACTGCAAACTGATGTCCCTCTCCATATACCTAGTCTTCCCAAGGTGAGCATGTCAGTATGGTAATGCATAAAGCAGATTTAGTTTTATATAATTTATTAATTTATTAAGATTACTGCTAGTAAGCAGGATGTGCTTTGGTACCAAAAACACTGATTGTGGTAGGGTTACTAATTTTAATGGAGAATGTCCTTCCAGTACTAATTGCAGATTTAGTACTGTACTAAGAACTAAGCCCAAAGGACTTTACAATGTAAATTATACCTATTTTGTGAAAAATATACTCCTTATCAAGCCACCATAATGTCTTTTAAATAGCAGCAGCAGCAGCAGCAGAATATTCTATTTATGGGAGGAGTTGCTGGAAAATGAAATTACTATAAAACCACAACATTCATCCCTGCCAAGGCTTGTTAATAGATGAAAAACATTTCCTGATTAGAGGAATGATAGCAATACCACAGGCATGTGAACCTGGCCCAAGGTCCAAAGGACATTGTCTCCAAGATCAAAACTGTCCCCATGGTGTACTATGCCTCAAACCTGACTGACAGAGATAAAAGGAAGGTAGATGCTAATCATGCTGTGTTGCCACATGATTCTCAACAGCCTTCCCCAGAAGAGTGGGTTTCAAGCTGGCAAGAGCTGAGGACTTCACTGATGGACCACTATGACCTGGAGAAGAAAAGTTCTGATACCTGGGGCTATATCCTACTTTACTTAATGATCCCCAGCATAATTTCAGATTTTGGGACTTTAACGTAGTTTGCAATTCACCTCTGTCCATGCAACCCAGTACTAACTGCATCAGAGATCAAGATTCTGGCTAACGTTACTTTTCCTCCAGCTACATATGAATAAGAGGCCTTTGGAAGGACAAAATATGCATAAGAAATGTTACTTTTTGGAAACTTAGTGAGGTGTGGCAGCACATACTGCATATGCCTGTTTCTGTACCTCTGGAGCTGAGGTAGGTACTCCAGAAGGAAGCAAAGGTTCACATGAATACAAGCCATCTACCAGGAGGAGAGACAGTAAACAATTTACAGTGATTCCCAGGACTATTCACTATGCACATGGGTGAGGCTTAAGTATACCATGCCCACCAAAGAGACATTCAGATCCCAGATTGAGGAGCACTATGATAATAAGATCAGCAAACACAGAAAGGTAGTTATGGTGCCACCACATCAGCACTCTGGTTCCTGAAGAGGCCACACTTGCTCTTCATTTAAAATCCTTTTCCTATCAAAAGGCTGCATGTCAAAAACTCACCAAAAACAGTTCGGGCAGGGACAGACTCTCTGTTAAGCCAGAAGGAGACCTGTGATAGGATGACAGTCATAATGCAGGGCAGGTATGTCTGTATCACAAAGTACCCAATCTTCCGCTTGAGGTGAAAATGTGTGGTCATGACGACGTACTCCCCTGGAGAAAGAGCATGTTAGAGCAGAAAGCAGCAGAACAAACCTTATCTGCCATGTATGAACCAACAAAACGTCAGTCCAGATTACAGAGCATTAAACTTCATCCACAGAAGGCATGATTTCAGTAAATTTCCAAGTTCTGCAAATATACTATCATAAAGCGATTGGCTGACAGATCCTGATGTTTTATTATCAGGAAGATTGCACAATAACAGCATGAAACCAGTGTATATTTCCTGAAACATGAAATTGGTGCTAACCTTCCAGGTGTCACTTTTATATGCAAAGCTTTTGTAAAAACATGAGGTTTGTTTTGCAGGTGGGTAGGTGTAGGCTGATGAGCACTTTTATCAACAGGAAAGGGGAAGAAATCTACATGCATTAGTCATTTTAAAGCACTTCCTCAGGACTTGCTCTATTACCTTCAAAACAGTCACAAAAGAAAAGCAAATCATCTGAACATCACTAGGAAACAGTCCTTGGAGGCTTTCTCGGCCTCTCTGCACCTAGGGAGAAGAGGCACCTTTCCTGTTGGGCTGGGTTTTTTGATCCAGCTACCCCTCCATTTCTTACTCTGCCTCAAGATGTGTGACAGGTAGGGCCCTGCCAACTTTTTATGGACTGTAACACTTTTACTTTGTTATTCGGTCACTGAGCCTATGACAAATGCTCTTCCAATATTTAAGCCCCCCTTACATAATCTCTGCTCAGAGTTGGGACAGGCTCCTGGCAATGAAAGGTTTCCACAGTAAACCAGTAGATTCTCTCTATTTGCCATCTTTATTTTCATTCCCTTCCCTCTGCTACTAAGGTCTTCAGTCTGATACACTGCATTTAGAACACAGCGTCCTTTTGTCATGATTTTTACACTATTCAGTCATTATTCATCAGTAGTTTTATGGCTCTCTTTCCATTTTAGCTTTCAGTCTATTACTGTTTCAGGTTTTTTTGCTATAACGTGGATGAGATATAATATTTATTCTTGGACTCCCCACCTTTCCTCAAGGAAGATGATGTGACTTACGAAAGAGAGGTTTTTTGTAAAGGGGACATATACTCAAAAGAGATTCTAATAACATACACAGAAGAGAAAAAAAGAGGACACACACACATGAGGTTATAGCAGCTGTATGCACCTGAATCACAGGGAAAGGGAAGAGAGAGGTGATTAATATTGGTCATTAATCAGAGAAAATATTTGCTTGGGACACTGTAGCAGGGCACTAAGAGATGGCTGCTCCTTAAGGCTGAAGAGGCCTGGCCAGGGAGCTCCGCAGGCTAAGCAGAGCTCCCCAGCTGCAGGTTGCCAGGCTAACAGCCTAAGGAAGTAATTGGCCACACCCGCCAACATCACCTGACCGGAAGGAGGCAGGGTTCTGGACTATATAAGCCCAAGCTGTAGCTAACAGACATGCACTCTCTCTGGCAATGGGCAGGAAAGGAGCTCCTGCCTGCTGAAAGTACTTGAGATGTGGATCTGCTCTGCTCTCTAGGTCCTACATGACTACAGGGAGTCTCCCAGGTACCAAGAATAGGGGCATGTTACTCTGAATGGAAACTTACTGTTGTTACTGTTAGTATTTAAGTTGTAGCCTAGGGGCTTGTATTTAAGATGTAGCCTAGGGGCTGGGGTGAGCCCATAGTGCCAGAGGGGTGCAGCTAAGGGGTTACAGAACCAGGTACCCAGGATAGAGGCACAGAAAGCCAGTCACTAGAGAACTCAATGCCTGCATGCTGCAAAGAGACAGGAGCCAGAGGGCTCAGTGCCAGGGGCATATAGAGTAGATGGCAGTAGTAACACCTGTGAGGCATAGGGCATATGTAGGGGACGTCAGAGCGTGTATACACCCCCTGGTATAGCTGGGCACATGAAGGGCAGCCTTCTGCCTAATGAACAGCTTAATTACTTATTAACAAGGCATGGCAGGTGAGATAGGTGGGGGGGCTGAGACCAGAGGTCAGCCTCAGAACAGCCCCCTAGCACATGGGCTGACACTAGAGGTCAGCCTCAGAACAGCCCCCTAGCACAGACACTCTTCTGTAACTGTTGTAATATTGTCCAAGAGATAAGAAAATCAATGAGCATCATATGCACATTCTCTGGCTTAAAGTCCATGATGTTCTTCTGAAAGACTAAAAGATGACCAAAATTAAATGAACTCCAAGAAGACATTCAAAGGCACAACTAGTAATTATGTGCATGAATTCCTTTGACTTCTAACAGGAGTGGAAAGTAAAGTACACTAACTTCCAATATACCTTATAGTGCAATCAGCTTTAAAGTTCATTCCTGACACCAACTCACTCCAGTACCTGTACTAGATCGAACCATCTCTGTTCCAACAACATGGCCCAAAAGATCATACTGATTGAGGCGAGATCCACCTTTTGCCACTTCTACTGATTTATCTTTCCCCAGCGTCCAAGTATAGATTACCTCTGTCTTCGTGTAGGCATCTGTAGAGAAGGAGGAAGGAGATTCAGACTTCTGATCATCCTAAAACAGTAGTATCTGGAGTCAAATTAATTCCTGTTGTGAATTCCACGGAGCTATGAAGATGCACATGGCCAAACATGTCTAGCCACCAACTTGATTTAGGAAGAGTCAATCATCTAAAAGTCAAGGCTTACTAGTGACTGTCTTCTAGATGCTAAGAATTTTGTGAAGTAAGTTGGTAAGGGAGTAGGACTATGCATTATTTTAGGAGGCAGTGTGCTCCTCTTTAACTCTCTTGTGCTGTCTTTTGAATACATGTGAGCATGAACAGCCATGTACATATTTCTGTTCTAGCACCTGCCTTGTGCTCTTTAGACTTCAGGCAGAATTCAAACCAACAGAATTCATACCTACATAACCAAAACCCCATAGTTTCCTAAATGAGAGGCCCACATCATAGGTATTTCTGTACCCAGATAGGTCTGAATGTTCCTCACTCTCTTAGTCATTTTGAACATCCTAGTCTTTCCTACATCTATATGAACGTCAAGGACTCACTTTCCTCCTGCTTTCAAGCCTTTGATCTTCCTCTCCTGGCCTTCTGCAGCTGCCTTACCTCCATTTGACTGCTTTGTTAAGAATCCCTGTAACTCACAATCATCAATTTTTCAACCAGGGATAATTTTGTATGTGCTGGGGGCCACACATGAAAAACTGGCCGTTAGTAAAGTTTCCCACTTCTCCATTCTGCCTTCTTCAATAACCTACTTTCTTCTCCTGTGTGATCACAGGCTTGCCAGGCAGCCTGCAAATAATCCTTGTTAGGGGCCGCTGGACGGTTTGGGGCTGAGAAAAGGCTGCCTGCAAACTGAAGAAGAGGCAGCCAGTAGAGGGCTGGTAGGTCTTGGGAGATGTAGCAGCATACAGCAACATAGTCCTCCAAATACTTACATGGCACTCCTTTAAATATATACCTCACTTCCCACCCCCTCCTCATATATGTGCTCCTTCATTCTCCAGCTTCCTACATATATGATGTGATTCACAAGTGCCGACCCATCTACCTACCTGCTCCTCCCCCCCACACACACACCTGCTCACCTGCACACTCAGACACCCCTGTTCACACACAGACACGCTTGCTTTCACAGAAATGCCAGCCTTGCAACCTTCAGATCCAGGGCTGTCCCGGCCAAACTAAGAAGTTGGCTGGTCTCTTCTTCCTAGAAGACCAAGATTCCAAGGTTCCTGCTCTGATTGGCCCAAGATGGTAGTTCCATGAAGTGAACAAGCCTATAGAATAAGATTGCTGAAGAGCTGCTCTAAAAAGTTTTTCACATAGCTGAGAGATTTTTAACTCCTCATCCCATAGGCTTCTCAAATAGAGACTTGGGTGCTTTTGTCAGGATTGATGGTAAGTCACTTCCAGCCAGTGAAATCTTTCCATTCCTGCAAATAAAGCTGTCAGTTCTCTAATTTTGTCCCATGGGACACTGCTATTCTTCATATCAGATAGCAATGGCATTGATATTCTGGGCATGCTTAATAGCCTGACACTATTTCTGACTTGTTTAATATTTTCTTTGAAAAATATGGGGCAGCCCAATCCAAATCAGGGGAGTTTCTTGAAATTTCAAAAAGGTCAAACTTGATGCAGCATCCTTTGCTTTCCTCTCCAAAGCACATGCATCCTACTGTGAGCAGCATTGTAGGGAAGTTTTGGGTTGTGCCCACATCTTCTAGGGTGTATGCTGAGACAGTCAAATGCATTTCACTCTTAGTCCTGGAACAAACACTGCTTGGTGGAAAGTGAAAGCTGGCTTGCCAAGCTCTGTTCCCTGCTTTTTCAGTGAGTGCTGTGCCTCAGAGCCTTTTGGAAGACTGCCATCACTAGGAAGTGGCATGGGGACAGGAGGTCACTGATGATCCACCCAAGTTTCCAGGCCCCTCCAATGCTTAAGGCAAAATCTGCTAAATCCTTAAAGAGTATGTCTGGTATGATACAGGCACTGGAAAAGCTGTTAGGCAACAACTTAAACTTCTTATAGAGAAGGGGTGAACACAGTCACTCCCAGCATCCAATAAAGTGAGCTACAGCTCACGAAAGCTCTCACACTCTGTGTCTTGCTCGCATGGCCTTGCTTGCTCTGTCTCACTCATGCACAGCCTTGCCCTCACTCTCTCATACAAATCTACCCTGCTTTCTGTTTTATAAATGCAATATTAGTGGGAATCCTTCTTGTCTTTAGGATCTTTATTTCAGAACTTTGCCATTCAGATGCTAAAATATTCAAAAACAAGATGATGCCAAGAATCATTCACCAATTAGTTCTACCAGAAACATACACACAAGTTCCTTTCCTCCATTTCTTCCTCCTATCCTAACTTTTGTGTTGCAGCAAATAACTGAAAGAGAGGTAATCTAAGGAAAGCTGCTTCCAGGCTTTGCTAGGTGAGAGTGTTATTCTGGCTTTGCTCTGTCTCTTATTTCACTCTCCTACAGTTAGGGCTGGAATGTCTATCCCTATACACTATAAAAGAAAGCTATGGTGTCTCCTCCTGGCAATCTTTGTTATTACACTATAACTAACAGTAATCAAGAAAACATGCCATTAGCACATCTGCTCACCAGCAGAATGAAGAGGAAGACTGACTTGGTACAAGCAATTATAAGAATATATTTTTGTTTCTCAGATAATTGTACAGGAAGCTGCTTTAAAACAAAAGACTGTTGCAGGCATGATCCTGCTGTTGATGTTACCACATGGAGCTTACTTCCAAGTAGGAATTATAGATAGAAGGTCAGTCTGGCTATTTCTCTAATCGTCACAGGGAAAGACTCCAGTTAGTCATCCTGATGTCCACTGCAGCCACTCACTCACTGTTTCAGACAGACAGCAGCCATGGGATCTGCTCAGTGGGAACAGTGCAGAGATAAGCACAGCGGGGACTAAATTCTCTGCCAGAATAGAGACAGTCCTAGGGTACAATTACCTATCCCTAGATTACTGCATCTCAGGATTATGACAAATGCAAGCTGACATCTTTACATAATGGGCATATACATGTTCTGTTTGTAGCTAGAAGTGAGGATGGCCAATTGTATTCTCATCCTATCTAAAAATAGCATCTTTCCCTTTGTCTGAAGGTAGTAACAGGATAAGTGTCTCACAGTGTGCATTTATGGTAGAGTTTTTTTCTTGCTGTAACTTATTGAGACACATACACGCAACTTGCTTGCTGGACCATAGCCTCAGGGTCTTCTACATCACATTCTGTGTGTGTGCAGTGCTGGCACTCATACAAATAATCAAACTTGGAGTAGATCCATCATCCATTTAGTACAACATCCCTCTTTTGACCATCTGTTTCAGAGGAAGGTTAAAGAAAGCTCACAGTTGGCAGATGTGGGATAATCTGTTCCCCCGAAGATCTTGTGAGAAGCCCCAATGGTCGGAGGCTGCTTTAAACCTTGTAGCATGAGGGTTTTTCTCTTTCTTCTCATACCCTTAAGTATGAGGCTTTTTAACCCTCTTGCACTTACTCTCCTTTGGTGACTAATTCCACTTGGCATTAACAAGGGTTTCCTTTCCATGAATTTTGAATTTCCTCTCTTTCAAACTAGATGGTTGGGTGCTTTATTGTATTACATTTTCTGAGACCCTAGAGCAGGGGTGTCCAACCTTTTTGAATGTGGGGCCGGATCATGAACTTTTTATCACCCAGTGGGCTGGCAGGAGCGGGTGCTCGCATGGCCTGTCCAGTCCGGCCGCAGCCTGGGAGTGCAGGGGTCAAGGGGTACTGCCTGACCCCACCGTGTCCTCCCTGCCACCTGGGCAGCCTTGAGGATGCTCCCACACCAGCGCACCTGGGCTGAGCAGCCAGGGGGACATGTGGGGACTCTACAGAGGGGTGCAGGATGTGCAGGGACACCCCCCTGCTCCCTCTTCCCCGGGGCAGCCCGAGCCCAAGTGGCAGGGGTCCCTCCCTCCCCTGGGCCAGCGACACACCACCTCCAGCATGATGTCTGCGGGAGTAGGGGCATGCAGGGAGGCGGAAGTGGCACCAGCTTTCCACCCTGACAGCCACAGCAGCAGCGGCATCAGCATCTCCAGCAGGCCCGGCTGCAGCATCCCTCTGAGCTGGCATCCGCGCCCCCTTCATCTGCCCGCTGCACTGTGACCTGCTCCAGCCCACGCCGCTGGCAGGGACCAGCGCAGGGTGGTGCTGGCATGCAAATGAGGAAGGGAGGGGCGGGGCTAGGAACAGAAACCCTGCAATGTGGGAGAGGGGAAGAGCTGGCATGCAAATGAGGAAGGGAGGGGTGGGGCGAGGAAGGGACACCGTGAAATGAGGGGGGAGGGAAGGAGCCGCACCACGCCAGCAACGTCAAGCTGACACGATGCGTGTGGGAACCTTGTCCCTTCCCCAGCCCTTCAGCAGCCATTAGGAAGCTGCTGAGGGGCTGGGAGAGGGGCAAGGGGGGGGAATGAAAGTAAACAGCGTTTACTTTCATTTCCCATCGCAGCACCGCGGGCCACAGAAAATGGCTTGGTGGGCCGTATGTTGGACAAGCCTGCCCTAGAATGTCATCAGGTGGTAGTCCAAACTCTTATTTATTTGGGAATAGGTAACTCTCAAAAGGTTGAAATAGACTGAAGGGCAGGCCCCCATACTAGGAGGCGACTCTGCATAGAGCTGTACAGAGAAAGATAATTTTACTTTGTGGAGGATTTTGATATTTTTCATTCCCATTTGGAATGTGATCCAAGATTTTTGAGATTCTAGGTGAAAATGAATGGAGTGCCAAAGACAGTCCATGTAGGGGGATGCAGCCTCTGACAGTCCTGGGATCCCAGACTGCTGCAGAGTTGTGACTTGACAATTGAGGAGCCAGTGCTCTGTGGGCTTCCAGGATCCTGGCTCCTGACCATCCCACCTTTTTTCCTGAAAAGGAGCCAGGAACCTCAGCTCCCAGGGTTTTGGGGTTTCCATTTCCCATCAGTCTATACAGTGGGATGCTCAGAAGCTGGTTGGGTGGGACAGCAGAACCAAGCAGCATTTGAAGCCCACCAGGCTGGCAGGGCCACATTACAACTCTGCTGAGATTGAGATATCTCACAGGACATTTTTATTTTGATAAACTGGCATTCTCTGAAGGAAACACATTGAGTATTTCCATCCACATGCCTCTGCGGGGGAGAGGCTGTGGAGGGAACCCTGCTTACTTACGTGGCAAACTCACAGCAGGATCAAATATCACCAACCCACCCCCAGAGTCCAAATTACCTGCACATATGCATGCAGCAATCTTGTCTGTAATAGGGGAAGGTGTGGTTTTATTGTATTTATGTAAAGCCCTTGGTAAATGCTTGAGCACTGTATAACAAATAAGATCACCTAAAAACCCAATTGAAGTGTTATTGAAGAAATAAGAAGAAGTAAGAAATAAGCTACCAGGATTTATACATGTAAAACTGTGCCAGTGTGTCTCTGCGAAGAAGGCTGAACCTGGCACTTACAGCTTCCAAATTTCAGTGGGCAGGCATGTACATCCATTGGGAAGTCCTCCAGGTGCATGGGGCACTCAGCATGGATTGTTAACCTGTAAGAGAAACAAACACAGGCCATGATCATAAACACATGGCTGCTGGAGCTTCTGGTGCAGCCTCTTGCCCTGTGTGCTCAAAGCTGACAAAGAGTCAGAGTGCTGACTACCAGCAGATCTCTGGGCAGCAGGCCCTTGGCTATGGAGAGAACTGCATGGGCTCCAGTCTCGCCACCTTCCCGAAGTTACAACTTAAGCCCTATTGACTGAGTTCATCTTTATCCACTAATTGCAAGAGAAAAATTTGCCAAAAACCTATACATGTACATATTTGCGTGTAATATTCAGAGAGGTTATTTGCACCAGTTTGAGCAGTGCCACAAACTGCATCATGGACCTTATTAAACCCAAGTGGAAGGAGCTTTGCAGTAACCTAAGCATGACCTATTTCTGGTAGTTTGGGAGGAGTCAAAAGCCAATAAATTATATACTAAAGGCACTTTATGGTTAGTGGATGTATAAAGAGTAGCAAAGCACTAGAGAAAATTAGAAATCTGGGCTAACGTGATTCAAGACACAGCTCCATGTTACCTACCTAAGCATCCTGAAATTCAGAGGCTTGTATCAGCTGCTACATTAGTGTATGGACACACATAACACTTAGACCAGAGGCATTTTACAATGGTTCAATTTTTGTGTGTCTGCACTCTTAGAATGAAACATGCCACTAAGCATGCTGGCCAGAGGTATTGGCTAATGAAGGTTCTTGGACCATATGGCTCCTTTCTACTCCTTTATGGCACCCTAGAAGGTACAAAGATGCTGACCCTGCATTTTGGAAGTACAGACTGCAGTTGTCATCCTGTTTTGCAGAGGTACTAGTGTGGGAGTGGAACAGATTTGTACACACACAATCCTGGTGCCCATGTGAAGCTGCAGGGCATAACCCAACCATATGATCTCGTTACATCAACAATAATATGCAGTCATCTCTGGGAAATGGGACTGGTGTTATGATAGTGCTAGTAACAATACAGAACTTGTGGCCACACATGAAGGGGCCTTATATGAAAAAGCCCAAGAAACCATGGTAATTCATTATTGAAACTAATGCTCATTGTTTAAGTATTCCAAACAGCATGGAAAGTCTGCAGCATCATAACTTACACACTGTAGCCATAAGAGCGTGTTTAGGAGACATTAGGTAAGAAATACTTTAAAGAGCTCAGTGAATCAGGAAAACTTTCTGTGGCTTGACAAGGCAATAAAAAGAATGTTAGCTGGAATGGGGTAGTCACTAAAGCAGTGGAGTTGGAGTCATCCTATAAAGAACCCAGATCATAAGAAATGAGCAGGAAGATTTTGTTGCAGTATTGCTGTTGGAAGTTGTTTTTTCAAGAAATTGGTAACTTTCACAAAAATGTTCTTTGTCCTTTAAAAATTGGGGTTTTTGTAAAATAAATAAATAAATAAATAAATACAAATTAAAATAAAATAAAATAAATTAAAAATCCAAAATGCATTAGTTTTCAGGTTTTGGTTTCCTTAGTAAACAGCTTTTTTCCGCTCTAAAACCTCCAATCATTTCAAAGTAAAATTTCAGTGAAAATTTAAAATATTTTTTGTTGGTGAATTACCTATTGTCAGCTAAAAATAAAAATTCATTCACAGACCGCTGTTGTGAAACAAAATAGGAGCAATTCACCTTGGGCACTTGTCCATAGCATCAGCCTTTTCTGGCTAAAGATGTTCCCATTTTTTTTTCACTCTTGTAATATAACATGACTAATGACCTAACGTGTACATAATTTAGCACATTATGGCTTAATATGCTATTACTTTTAAAGAACGCTAGGGGACACGTCATAACAATTTTACCCTCCTGCTCTCGCATTAGTAATTTATACCAGGGGGCATTTTAAGATGGAAGTTGATTTCAATGGACAGGAGTGTCACCAGCTTTCCTTTAGAGACATCCCTATTTTGGGGGGGGGGGGGGGGGGTTGAGTTCAATAAGCATGCTGCCCAACTTCTGCAAAGCCTTCCACCCCTTCACAAGGCTTGGCATTGGGGGTCGGCCAGGTGGGCATCCATCCAAAGGGACTGCCCCAAGCCTGTTCCTGCACTCTTCCCCTACCCGTGCTTTTTTTGAGTGCCTGATGAAGGGGGTTCATGAAATCTTTTTGTGCAAAGCTCTGCAAGTGGCTGCCTGAGACCCCCCTCAAGTCAGGCTTGGCATCGGGGGTCGGTACCATAGGCCACCCAAAGGAGCTGCCCCCCTGGCCAATTTGTTCCTCTGACCAAGACTGCTATCCCATCACAAGTCTAGCTTGCTGGCATCCCTGGGCATTGACATTGGGGTACCACAATCATTCCATGTCACATACACCCAATTTACAAAGCAACCCAAAGTAGCTTCCCCCTGCAGTCTTTTCCCCCCACTTTTTGCACAGGGTTTTGGTGCTCTTTTTTGCCCAGATTTTCATGCTCTTTTCCAGTCTAGCGCCAGCCTGTCTGGAGTTTTTTTTTTACTTCAAAATGAGGTTGGCAGAGGGGTGGGAAGTGGGGGGTTCCTGCCCTGCGCAAGGCCTATAAATTGTGGGAGCAGTGGTCAATCAGAGAGTTTTGAGGTACATGACAGACGGCAGCATATCAGACAGAGGCAGAAGGACTCAGTCCAGCTGGGATAGTTGCCACTGGGTTGCACAGGACAGCTAATGCAGTGGTCAAGAAGAGTGCAGGTTGTGGCTGATGAATTCAGGTGCAGTGCAGTGTTAGAATGCAGGATGAGAGCTGCTTTGCAACATGGGACTTAAAAGACAATACCACTTTACGTATGCATTGGTAAGTGACACCTGACACTGGGCTATGCCCTGAGGGTGGGGGCTGCATTGTTTACTTCAACTTTGATGTAAATAGGGTTGGTGGATTTAATTGCTGTGAAGGAAGGCACAAGGTATTGCACAGCATGAAGACCCACAGTCGCAGTGCAAGGTTGGTGGTGGGGAGGAACGCCCTTCCCCCACTTCCTTGGCCATCAGCCACTTTTCTCCACCTCACCTTCCTGTTTGAGCCCCGCCCTCCCCCCCCCCTGCTTTTCAGTACAGAAGGGGTACCCAAGTTCAGGGCAGAAGGCACTACATGGTGGTTTTCCAAAACAAATTCTTTTGCTCGTTCTTAAACTCAACCCCCCCGCCCCATTCCTTCTCTGGCTCCTATTTTTTAGCTCCCAATTGCTATGCTCCATGTTGCTGCAGCTGGTCACAACCTGCAGAAGAGAAGAACACACTCACGAAGGCAGAGAGGGATGCCTGATACCACTTCCTTCTCAAGTGGCAATACTGGCAATGTCACTGCTGAGTGCCTGTTCACTACTTGTAATATCCTTCGATTCATAATGCTGAAAAAACAATTGAGAATTCACCCTTAGCAGTATATGTATAAAATTTAAGCCTCTCTCTGCTGCAGCATAGACAGTTTCTAAATAGAGAATAAGGGATAGTATTGTGTGAATACATCAGCAACAGCCCCAGCCCCGGTGGTGCTGCCTACCCAGGGCTCCTCTGAGGCCTCCACCCAGACGGAGCCTGCGGGGGGGCTGAAGTCACCCTCCCCCCCTGTCTGTGGGGTATGCCTGATGGGGCATCTGCAGCTTGAGGGGGGTGGAGTGGGGAGCAGGAGTTCCTTTGCTTGTCTCACATGTGCCCACCTTTGGGCCTTGGAGGAGCAGGTGAGGGAGCTCCAGACTGAGGTCTGCAGGCTGCAGGTGACCAGGGCTTCCGAGGATGAAACTGATGGGTACTTTCATTCTCTGCAGGGTCAGGAACCTAGTGGAGAAGCCCCCCAGGAGAGACCCACTGCAACAGTATGGCAGATGGTCACCTCCAGAGCCAGGGCTACTTGTGCTACCACAGTGTCAGCCCCCCCAGGTACAGCTGGAGAACAGGACTGAGGCCCTGGCAGCTGTGGAGGAGGAAGTAGGAGAGGATGCCTCCAGAGGAGCAGATGCTACTCCATGCATGCACAGACTGAGTGATACCACAACACCAAGAGGAAGAGACAGTGGGTCCTCATAATCAGCGATTCCAACCTGAGAGGAATGGAGGGGCCCACTGTCACCCTGACCCCATGGCATGTGAGGTTTGTTGCCTGACTGGAGCTCAGATGTGGGACATCATGGAGATGATCCTGGGCCTCATACGACCCTCTGATCAATACCCCATGGTCCGCATCCATGTGGGAATGAATGACGTGGCTAGGGGCAGTCCAGACTGCATCATGAGAGCCTACAAGGCTCTAGAGACCAAGCTCAAGGAGACAGGGGCACAGGTGGCTTTCTCTTCTACTGTTCCAGTGAGCAGACACAGGCGGCACCATGAGGCATGCATTGGTGAGGTCAACTGGTGGCTTTGGAGCTGGTGTTACCAGGTGGGCCTTGGGTTCTTGGACCATGATGCACATTTCCACACAGAGGGCATGCTTAGGCGAAATGGGCTTCATCCCTCCCTGAAAGGTAAGCATGTTTTTTCTTCCAGGCTGGCTGATCTCATATGGCAAGCTTTCAACTAGGTTCACCAGGGGACAGGGATGCAGAGGAACATGAGGTCACTCCACTGTCAAGCCAGGTGACACGCGCAGGTAAGTGCTAGGGGCCAGGGCAGGCATAGGAACAAGGGGGCGGCACATGCACCTACAGGAGGCTTCAAATGCTTCTACACAAATGCTCAAAGCATGGGAAATAAGCAGGAGGAACTCACCGTCCTGCTAGCTAGCAAAAACCCAGACCTAGTGGGGCTCACGGAAACCTGTTGGGATTCTACCCATGACTGGGCAGTGGACATTGAGGGCTACAGGCTGTACAGGCAAGACAGAGCAGGGAAAAAGGGTGGTGGTGTAGTGCTCTATGTCAAAGAGCAATACATGTCCTCAATGATCAGGATGGGGTCAGAGGAGGGGCAAACTGAGGTGCTCTGGGTAACAATGCAAGGAGGTTATGGGGAAAGGGACTTGATAGTGGGCATCTACTACAGACTGCCTCACCAGGGGCACGAACTGGA